AATTCAACATGATGCCAAAAAACACACAAATGCGAAATAAATATTTACTGTTATTTTGAATGGAATGGAATGAAGGGCCAGCATCATTCATTAATTTTCATTCAACAAGTCTTTATTGAGTAGAAGGCACTGTGCCAGATATTATGAAAATTTCCAAGATAAAGGACATATTTACACGAACCTGTTGACAGTATTGGGACATCTGTAGATAGGCACTTATTAGCAGAGGTTTTTTTTGTTTGTTTGTTTGGTTGGTTTTTCTTTTTTATCACTACCCATTGATACATAGCAAAATATAGAAGTGTACAGGAGGATATGTGAATGGCCATGCATATCTGCTGATGGGGTCACTACAAAGGCCCTGAACCAAGTTCTTGAAGTGATACAGACGCAATTCCTGTACTTTAGAACTTCACCCCAACACAGAAGGAAGCCCTAAGGTTCCATGGAGGAAATGCCGCCTTCCTGTCACTGGTAAAATGAGTGGGTGGGTGGAGGTAACATGCCTGTCAGTATCTGTGATTTTTACTGGCAATTAGAACCACATGTGTTGGAAGTGAAACCTTACAAATGCTGATTTCTAGCTATCTGCCAAACTGGAAAATACACAACCCTGGATCAAGAAGAGCCTTTTTAAATCCGATACTTACCACTTCAACCACAAAATTAATTCTTTTTCCCAGGAGGTGAGATTTTTTTGCTCGTTAGAAAAGTTGGTTTTCTCTTCTCTATTTTTTTCCCCTCTCAGCTCAGGGGTGTGTTTCTAGTTACAAGGTGAACAGATATTTATATGTGCTTACAGAAGCTCATCTTTGAATTTGCTAGAGGAGAATATTCATGGTTATGCTAATCTTTTATGTCCTTTTTAAAATATGATCAAATCCCATTAATCTGAACTCCATTAATTCAGAATTTTTGTTAGGTTTATCTGATTTTGGCTATAATTTATAATATACTAGAGGCCCAGTACATGAAATTTGTGCATGGGGGTGTCCCCTCAGCCCAGCCTGCATCCTCTTCAATCTGGGACCCCTCAGACATCCTTCTCACAATCCTGGATCACTGGCTCCTAATTGCTTACCTGCCTGAATGCCTGGTCATCCCTAACTGCCCCTTGCCTGTTGGCCTGGTGGCCCCAACTGCATCCCCTCTACCAGTCTTGTCGCCCTTAACTGTCCCCTTTGCCAGCCTGGTCACCTCTTACTGCCCTCCCTGCCAGCCTGTTCACCTCCAACTACCCCCCTGCTGGCCTGGTCACCCCATGCAGCCTGCTGTTCAGTCGTTTGGTCGTCCCTCACTAATCCCCCTGCCAGCCTGGTCATAGGCAGCCATCTTGTTAGGGCATGATGACCAATTTGCATATTACCTCTTTATTATATAGGATGACTTTTTATTATTATTCTCTAAGTAGACTGTGAGGGGGAAATGTCCTTACTATGTATCAAGCATTCTAGGCTCAAGCAATACAGCAGTGAACAAAACAAATAAAAATTATTGTCCAGATTGAACATTCTGGTTTGAATGAATGAGTAAATTTACTCTTGACATATGTACAACAGCTAGAAAATGAGTCTCAGCATATTTAACATCTCTTTCTAGTAATCGATCCAAAATTGCTGTTATTTGAAAACAATGTAAATAAAATAATTAATCATTTATAATATCCTGTAAACGATCATTTTTTAATGGCTTTACATTAAATTTTTCTCCCAAATCACTCAGGCTTTGATGTAAGAATGAATTAAATAAGTCTAGGGAGTCAACCTTGAGTGTCACCATAATATTCTTACATTGCCTTTTTGTTATTAATGTCTTAAGCATTTCCTAATTTGATTATAAGTTTTATAATTTGCTTTCTTATAATCCAGTATGGTATTACTTATCCTCATTTCACAAGAGGCTAAGGTTCACGAAAACTAAATAATTTTTCCAAGATCGCCCACCTAATAACTATGGCAGATAAGGTTGATGATAGTACTAAGCTCCATATTCTGGGCACTTATATGAGAAGACTGGAAGTACAGCATCTGAGGATTAAGACCAATGCACAAGATTACAGAGGAGAAAGGCAGAAAGAGCCTAGATCCTTGGGGTGTCATTGAATTATCAAGCCAGCTCTGTGCTAACTACACCTATGGCCTGATATAAATGAAGCCCCAACTGTTCAAGTCACAGTGCTTGGTTTTTTTTTTTTTTTTTAATATTTGCATCATAAAAGACATCTGACTGATAAGTCTGAGAACTAGAAATCAAATGTAAAACTCTGAAGCCCTTGTTCTTTCCAATGGAACAATCTCAGTACTCATAACTCACTCCAGGTATTCTTCACTTTATAAAGAGAATGTGTCCCTCAAAAGCCACATGCAAATAATTTAAACATATTCAATTAAAATGCATTAACTAATTTTAAAAGAAATCTATAATAAATGACCTTATGAACTATTTGGAGAATATTTTTATGACATTAAATAGGAAATTAAGTGGTGGTTGGCAAGTTTTTGCTAACAGGTGTATTTTTTCAAATTGTGCTATGTGTGTTCCAAATTTACAATGCAATTTTACTGTCAAGAATCTGAGAAGGCAGGTTAGTAGGACCTAAAAGGATTAACCTACACTCACTAAGATGGCAGTAACCAACAAGATACTAACAAGTGTTGGCAAGGATGTGCAGAAATTAGAACCCTCACCTCATATACTTCTGCTGGGAATGTGAAATGTTACAGCTGCTTTAGAAAACTCTGTGGCAGTTCCTCTAAAGGTTAGACAGAGTTACCATATGACACAGCAGTTCTATTTGGAGTTGTATTTCTAAGTATCTGCCCAAGAGAAATGAAAACATATTGTACACAAATGTTAATAGAAGCATAATAGCCAAAAAGTGAAAACAACCCAAATTCCACCAACTAATGAGTGGGATATGTCCACACAATGGAACATTATTCAGCCAGAACAGGCATCCATAGAGAACGCTGGAAACGTTGAAGAGAAGCAGTGAGTGACTACTAACAGATGCAGGGTTTCTCTGTGGCGTGATGAAAATGTCCTAAAATGGACTGTGGTAATAGTTGCGCAACTCTGTGAATATACTAGAACTCTGTGAATAGTACACTTTATATGAGGTGAATTGTATCAGATATTGAACCAATAAAGCTGCTACATTTTTAAAAAATTAACTAACCAACTATGATCAGGAGATAGTAAAAGGGTCCAGGAATAACAGAAATCCTGAAGGCTCAGTGTCAGTCTGGTTTTTCTGTGAGCTTGGACTGTGGGGTTTGCTCCCACAGTGCCCTCATTTCACCATTCTGATGTGGACTTAGCAATGAGACTTTAGTTTTCTTGTCCTCTTGGCCTTTTTTTTTTTTTCATCTCCTGGAGACTATCTTACCCCCAAGGCAAGGGGTGAGATTAATGAATGCTCAGACCCTTGTTAGAATCCTGGTGCCCTGTGTCTTAGCCAAGTGTCTTTGGAGAGACGAGAGACGAGAGGAGCTCTCCAAGCCCTCCGAAAACAGGAAGAATAATAGTTACCTCACAAGGCTGAGTTGAGCATTGAAGCCGTAAGCACATGAAGTACACACGGAGCACGTTGCTTAGCACATTGTGTGCTGTTCATCAGTGCAACCCTTTTCCGATCTGTTCCATCATCCCTTGAATTCCCGCCCACGCCACTGTTTAACCCCATCTCAGAATGAAAGGTGCGAGCTTCTTGCCCTGGGCTGGAAGGCACAAGGCTAGTAGCTCTGGGCTTTGCCATGTACTCAGAAAGATGTCTGCTTTCTACCCAGAGTTTCTTGAATGAAAAGGTGTTAGTTTCTATGATTTATTTCATCACAATTATTCTGAGTACCTAGCAAGTGGGGAAGAAGAGCAAGTTTGGAAGGTTATTCTCTTCTATATTGATGAGACCTAGACAGCATCTATTAAACATGTCCCCTGACTTGGTTCTTTACATGATTTCAGCAGAAAAGGAAGGAAATTAGAAGTAAGGCAGTCAGGCCAACCCGCCTCTCCCTCTCTGTAGCAGTGTGGCCCCGGGCACATTGCCTAACCCTGGTAAGCCTCAGTAGCCTTGCTTATGAAAATTGGGGAGTTGGGGGATCTTATGTACATCACAGGGTTGTATGGGGGATTAAATGAGGCAGCACATGTAAAGCTTTTAGCTCAGTGCTTCCCAAACAGTAAGGCTCAATAAGTAGCTTGTGAAATTTTTGAGAGAAAAATATTAATAGTGTGCTTCAAATATACTACTGAAGGCATTCTTTATTTTTTAATCCTCACCTGACAATATGTTTATGTTTATGTTTATTATTATTATTATTATTATTATTATTATTATGTTACTGATTTCAGAGACAGAAGAAGGAGAGAGAGAGAGAGAAAGAGAGAGAGAGAGAGAGGTGAAAGAAAAAAATCAATCGCTGCCTCCTGTATGAGCTGACTGGGGATCGAACCTGAAATCTTTTGGTGCACAGGATGACACGCCAACCAACTAAGCCACCTGGCTAGGACTGAAGGCATTCTTTAAAATAAATAAATAAATAAATAAATAAATAAATAAATAAATAAAGATTTAATTTAAACAATTAGAACAAACCTGTGCAATCGGTTCTATTTTAGGCCATTTTAAAGATAAGGAGAAGTCAATTTGGAGAAATTGGGTAAATTGCCTAAACCTTAGAAGGAGGATAGCTCTGGGATTTTTAAGCAAAGTCCTTCTAAAATTGTCCTGCTGTATAACCATAGGATCCTGCCCCTGTTCCCTATCAATGAATTAAAAGGTTAGAAAGATTATAGAACACACCCCCCTCCCCCGCACACCCCAAGTGAAAGTATTAAGGGCGTGAAAGGGTTGTGGTAGCTTCACTTATGGTTAGGGAGCTGGGAGTAATCAGGGTGCCTGTTTCATGCTTGGGGCTTTCCTGGGTCCCTGTGGGAGGTGAAGGACTCGATGAACTGCCCTGGAATTGCTTATTGGAAGTGTTGAGGAAGGAACCTACCTCTTCAAGTGCACCAGATACTTTGTGTCTAGGTAGGTGGGCTTCCCGGTGTTCCAGGTACAAGTCATGTTGCCTGAATATTCGTGAATTACACAGGTTACCTCCTCAGGGACATCAGGTGGATCTGCAACAAAATGTATCACTTAGGAACCCCCATAGAAACATCAAGTTCTTTATAAAGTAGTTGATAAACTTTCCATTTCATCTGGGAAAACAGGTCAATCCCTCTCAGAATTTCTCTCATTCATTCCCTACCACCTCACCTTGCAACCCACTCTGCCATCAAACACTGCTCCTTTCCTTTACAGATTTCTCTATATACTCTACTTCTTTGGGGATACTAATTGTGATCAAGTTCCTCCCATAAAAAAAAAAAATTTTTTTTTTCACCCTTCTAAACTCTCTTCTTAGCTACCACTGTATCTTCTTTTCTTAATAGCTTTTTTTTTTTTTTTTTTTTTTTTTTAAGAAGTCACTGTACTGGTCTTTTTCTTCATCTCCTATTTACTTCTAAATCCCAACAATCAAGATTCAGCCCACAGTTCCACCAAAACCCCAGTTGGTAAGGTCCTTAATGATTTCCTAATCAATAAATTCCACGATCTCTTTGCAGTCATATACCTTGACCTCTGCAGCATTTAATATCTGGGCCACACCCTTCTTGAAACCTTCTGTGCCTTTTGGCTCCTGGGAAAGAGTTCTCCAAAGGGTTTTTTCTACTTCTCCTCTGGCATCTATTCCATCTATACCTTCTATTGAGTATTACTCAGCCTTAAAAGGAAAAGGAATTCTGACATGCTACAATGCAGATGAACCTTGGAGACATTATACTAAGTAAAATAAGTCAGACACGAAGGAGAAATATTGTATGATTTTACTTATAGGAGGTATCTAGAAGAGTCAAAGTTTTAGAGATAGAAAGTAGAATAGTATCATGGTGGTTGTCAGTGGTTGAGGGTAGGGAGGAATGGGAAGTTGATGGTTAATGGATACAGAGTTTCAGTTTTGCAAGATGAAAAGCATTCTAGAGATGAATGGTGGTGATGGTTGCACAACAATGAACTCAATGCCACAGAACTGTACACTTAGGAATTGTTAAAATGGTATGTTTTATGTTGTGTCTATATTACCGCAGTATAAAAACAAGATTTTTTAAAATGTTGGTAACCACAGAATTCTATTTCAAGGTTCTTTCTCCCTTCCTCAACCCCTCCTCTGTGTTTTCTCTGAGTGGCCATATTATAGAGAACATTATTAGATTTTGTCTGCTAGCATTTTTCCTTTTTCAACACTGACATCTCCCACTCCCTACTTCATCCCCTCACTATCCCAATGGCTGTCAATCACTATGAGACCACATGACTCAAGATGAACCAATGAGAATTCTCCCAGGGACTTTTTCAGGAGCCATTGTAAAAGAGGCACCCTCTTTCCCCCTGAAATTACTCTCTGAGTAATAGGGAGCTGTGAGTTGCTGGTGGCCATCTCCCTGTCATAGAGAAACTGCCTACTTAAGAATGAAGTCAACGCAGGGGAAGACAAAACCCAAGAGATGGGAAAAGATCAGAGAGTTCTGATGACAGTGTTTGAGCCCTTGGAGCTGATGAAACCCCAACAAGTATGGAACAGCACCTGGAATTTTCAGTTGCACCATCCAGGAATAAATTACCAAGAAAAAGATAACAAAAGAAGTATGGAAATATTGAGTGCTGATTATATACTCACTTTTTCATGTGCTGCTCTCTCAGTTTGTGCCTACATGTGCAATCCTGTCTGGGAAACTAGACTATTCAGAGAATGACCAGACAAATGGCAGAATGGGGGGATCATAAAAAAATAAATGGTCGGACATTTATGCACCTGAAATTATACCCAAAGATTTATCTTAAATCTAAATATACTCCTTGCACTTCACCTGCAAATTACATACCAAGAAAATTACTTGTAAATTCAGAAATAAATATGCAAAAAAATTATCCTTATTGCAAATTGAAAAGATAATAGATGTCATTTAGACCTATAAAAATGGCAAGAATTTTTAAAAATGGCAGTCCTCAGAGTTGGAATGGACAAAGGACAATTCTCTAACACAGTTGTGCAAATTGCTGCAGCCTTTATGGAGAACACTTTACATATCATCATCTTTAAAAGCTAGAATAATATCTCGCAACCCAGCATTTTACATCTAGGATTGCATTCTTAATGAAATATTCATAGGTATACAAACTATTTGGCTAAAAAAATTGCCTCTTGAAGTATTGTTTATTGTAATAAAAATTTAGAAACAAACTTAATAAACTAAAATAAGGTTAAATAAACTATAATATGCTCCTAAAATACATTCCAAAACAATGTAGAATACAATTATGTATGTTTAATTAGTTTAGTAAATAATTAAATAATGGTCATATGATAAAGTGAAAAAACAAATTGTGAAATAGTGTAGTGGTCTCATTTGAGAGACAGAGAGAGAGGGATTAAGGTAGAGAAAGAGAGAGAGAGAGAGAAACTTGAAAGGTACTCTGAATTATTAAAGATGGATTCTTTTAGTAAGAATATGGGGTATAGAGATCATGAGTATTTCTTTTTGCTGGTCTAAAATTTTTAAAATTTTATGTATTGACTGTAATTTTTTTTATAATAAAATGATTTTCGAACAGTAAGAATAGACTAAAGTACTTTAAAACATTTTTGTGAGTTGTAGCATTGAGTTACAATGGGGAGAAATAGGATGCCAAGTAGGGTAAAGAAAACTTTACATTTTATCTGCTCTTTAAAGGAGGTAAATGTGGACACAGACATTTAAGTCACTTTGAATATTGATTGAGTTGTGGTCCCTCAATGATTACAGTGATTTGTGCTGAAGTTATTTTATTTTTTTTTAAATATATTTTATTGATATTTTACAGAGTGGAGGAAGGGAGAGAGATAGAGAGCCAGAAACGTTGATGAGAGAGAAACATCGACCAGCTGCCTCCTGCACACCACCCCCTACCGGAGATGTGCCCGCAACCAATGTACATGCCCCTGACCGGAATCGAACCCGGGACCTTTCAGTCCGCAGTCCGACGCTCTACCACTGAGCCAAACCGGTTTCGGCTGTGCTGAAGTTATTTTTGTTTTCTGGTTTCAGATAAGAGCATTATTGAATTAGTCACCATGAAAGACAACTGTCATTATTTTGGGATATGCTATTTACTCCACAGCATTCTATCTGAACTGAATGCTCAGGGTTATAAATGTCTGATGGTTTATTAACTTTGCAAAAAAAAAAAAAAAAGTAGATTACACACACACACACACACACACACACAAATAAACACAATACATATAATAATAAAAGTGTAATATGCTAATGGGACATCCTTCTGGATGAAGCCACCGCAGTGGGGGGTAGTGGGGTGGGGTGCTGAGGCAGGGGCTGAGCTCTGCACGAATTTCATGCATCAGGCCTCTAGTTTGTAATATCAATGTAAAGCTATGCAAAGATAGGGAATGTGAGTATGGTTATGAGAGTAAGACCAAATTGTTGTTGGAGCTCATTTCCAGGTTATTAAACGTTCAAGAATAAAAACCTACTTTACAACTAGATACTAACAAATACCCTAAACTATACAAGCATGAGGCTTAAGTTTTTGCTCTTGCCTACCAATGCTATCCCTCCCCTATCGGGGCACTTATTAATCACAGACCAGGATTCTAATTAATTCAGAGTCTAGACAGAGATCATTTTCTACTGAGAGCTTCTTGAAAGCAGAGTCTGTGATTCCTCTTCTAGCATTTAACACATTTTTAGTGCATAGCAATCTCTCGATAAAGTATATTTCATGAATTGATTGGATTGATTAATAAAATGATAATAATAAGCAGGCTTATAATGAAAAGAAACGCAGTGCTTCTGACAAAGATCACTATTTAATTCCTTCCCCAAGGAGAGCACAAACCAACTTAATTGTGCCAATAATTATACTTAAGAGCAATGCTAAAGATGAATATTCAGGACGTTTATTAGATAACAAGTCTGCTTTTATCAAGGTAAGTAGCGATCAAAGATGGTTAAAATTTAAGTCAAAGATATTTAAGTTTTTAAATAAATGATTAAGTGGTGATGTGACTGTCCCATGTTTAATTTGGTATTTTCAAATGCATAAAGACATCTCATAGTGTTTGGTTCCAGGAGTTGGTGTTATTCTGATAGAACAAACTTCCTATAATAAGCATACATTTAATCACAGACAAGAAACCAAGACATGTTTAAAATTATGACTACAAATGAAATTGTAATAATAAGTTTGTGTTTCACAAATTGCACATTAAAGTACAGATCACTTTAAATATAGAGAGATAGATAACTTTTCAGGGAAAGCAGTGATTGATTTAACTTCTCTCTGTCTTTTATGACTTGTCTTCAGTCTAAAAATATACATATAATCATTCTGTTAAAGCAGTAACAATAAATCGACATAGTAAAGCTCGCAGGACAAGTATCCTGTGATCAAAGTGATCCAGCGAAAGCAATGTGATTTCCAGAATACCTCAAAACCCTAAAAAAAAACCTTTTTGTGACCTACTTAAAAAGGAAGTTTTATTTGCTAAAAACGCAGAACCCGAGAATGCAGGGGTTCTTCAATCCAGGGGACTGAATAAATTTTTACCTGGCAGTTACCATTTCATACTCATAACCAGGGGTCTATGTGAGAAATTACACCCACAAAGTAAATAAATGGGAAGAAGGATGTCCTTTCTGAGCAGCCATTTGCAGAGAATAAGTGCTTCATTATATTGTCCTAGAAGGGGAGCAAAGGCCATTCCCTAACTTTAAGCATCACCCAATGATTTCTTTTGTGTGTGTGTGTGTGTGTGTGTGTGTGTGTGTGTGTGTGTGTGTGTGTGTGTGTGTGTGTGTGTGTGTGTGTGTGTGGAGGGTGGGGGGAGTGTCAGAGATCCTTAGCCAGCAATGGGAGAGCTACTGGTAGTGATCTATCACCCAAACTGCAGCACAGGGAAAAAGGCCATGCTTCTTTGGCCTCTTTCTTCCTCTGGCTTAAATAAAAATCTAATCTTTCCTCATAACTGTGGAAGTTGCTAATTTGCCCGCTGAAAAAATTATATATTATCTCAACACCCCCACCCCACTGGTGGGGATTAATAGTGAAGTAGTTAAACATTAAGGCTTATTTCTATTTCCTGAGGATGTGGACAAGGTAAGGAGTCCTCATACATCAGATAAGATGTTTGCCTGTGGTTTCAATTCCCACAATTTAGGGCAAGTTTAGCATGTTGTTATCAGTTGAAGGCATACAGTTGCCAACCTTATTCTTTGACTCCAAAACATACTACTTTCTTTTCAACTACTTTTCTTCCTCAGTTTACTTCTACCACTTCCCATATTTCTTCTATATTTTTGTTAAATTTTTTAAAGAGGAGGAAGGAGGAGAGAGAAATAAACATTAATGTAAGAGAGAATTGATCTACTGCCTATCCACCTGAGCATGTGTCCCTCACCGGGAATCAAACCAGCAACCTTTTGGTGCATGGCATGATGCCTAACCAACTGAGCCACACCAGCCAGGGCTTCTTCTTCTTTTTGAAACTTTTGCAAGATCAGGCAGCCAGAGTTAAATAGGACAATGGCCTTATTATAGATCCCCTGCTTTTCAGCTATCCATTCTAGAGTCCAGGTGGTCTGGCTCTTACTAGGTAAGGCCTGGAGGTCAAGAAGGAAGAACTCAGATTTAATTCTCATAAGTGTGGAGGAAGAGAATATAGCACATACCCAAAGCCCTCTACCTTCATTGAAAATGGACCTAGATGTCATCTATATATATATATATAAAAGCCAAGTCACTGGAATGACTGGAATGACCAGTTGCTATGACTCCAGCAGCCCCTCCCCCCTGCCAGTCCTGATTGGTCCTGATTAAGGCAGTCTGGCCGGACCCCACATGTGCATGAATTCATGCACCAGGCCTCTAGTAGGAAATAAATATCTGGGTTAAAACAGTGCTGAACTTATTGATCTATGTTCATAATAGTACAAAGAAGAATTAAGTATATAATTATGCAAATGAGCCCATATTACTCTAATAATTTAAACATCTTCAGAATGCTTGCACACAAATTGAATTTAGCAAATATGTTAAAGATTAATGATATTTTTTTTCTTAATAATTAAAGTAATAAGCATAGTGATTCACAATTGGGGCAGTAGGATTAGAAGCAGAGAATTGTATCAGAATCTTCCATGTTTTGTCCAAAGGATCTATTTTTAAGGGCTTAGTCATATGGTTGTACTGTAAAGTGTATAAACTGCTTTTAAAATAAATTATTAAAATTAAGGGCTTACCACAGTCTGTATAATTTGCCTCACTTCACAGATACAGAATTGAGGCTTGGATTTGTTAAGCAACTTAATCAAAGGTCACACAGCTGGTAAGGAGGATAACAAGAACACAAAGCTAGTTTTGCAACTGTTTTTCTCCCTAAATCTTAGTTTCAAAATTTTACAGTAGGATCTGCTTCAAAGTTGATTATATTAATTTGGAAAAATAAAAACAAACATAAGAGGAAAAACACATTAAAAAAAAAAAAAGTACCATTTAACACCTGAGTTCGTTGCCTCTCATGTATGCTGTATCTGACCAGGTAACTGTTGAAAATTGTGGGGGGTTTTTTGGAATCGTTGGTAACATGGTAACATTTATAGAGTTCACATATTTCAGTCTTCTTCTAAAGAGTCAAAAACTCTGTGAATATTGAGCCCTCACAAATGCAGGAGCTGGGCAGTGGCTGTCCCTAGTAGATCATACCTCTGCTCTCCTCTCTGCACAGATCCCACCAGCTTTTGTAACTCATATTTTTCACCAACCTGGCCCCTGGAGACATTTAAGTTTGCAATTCCTGTATTAAACTAATATAAGAAGTGAACGATATCAGTTTGCCTCTATTTTTAGACAAGTTGGTGATTACCAGTAGTTGTTAGATGAACTTTTACTTGGACTGTGAAGGCACCCCACACACTTACATCCAGAAGAAATGTCTTTTCCACATATCAGTGTCTCTCGAGAATATCCGGGACATTCAGCCGTGCAACGCATGGAGGCACGTGGTTCCAGAAAGTTGTCATACCGAAGCTTAGCTGTCGTTTTATTAATCCTTGTGATTTTCAATCCTTCTTTGATGTTATTTTTATAAAAATAAAATTTCCTTGGTTGGCAGTTCTTAATTGCTGCTTGGCAATATATGGAGATATTCATACCCATCTTAAAAATTGTGGCTGGTTCTACCCAGATGTGACCAGAGCAGTTTATATTTGTAATTCCTGGAAATAAGTAAATTAAAACAATAAATTCCATATAAAAGATTAAAGCAGATTTTTTTTTTAAATAGGCTATTATTTTAAAATGTATTCTTTTCTATTAATTAAATGAATTCCATTGGGAAAAAGTTGTGCACTAAATGTATCTTTTAATTGATTAGCTTATTGTCATGTATTTTTTACTATGCTTCTGTTAAGACTCAAGAGCATGACAAAAGACTAATATCAGCCTTTAAGCTTCTCTGTCTAAAGAACAAATATAATTAGCTCTCTTATTTTAAAGCAGAGAACCAAGGCATTATGAGGCTACACATTTTTTAAAAGGTAAGATTAGATCTAACATTTGGCACTACAGAATCCAAATCCCAATTAATCTATCAGTCTTTATTATTTTGTAGATAAAGGCTAGTTTTACCAGAAAATTCAGAGTTTAATGAATAAAACCATACTGTTACTTATGGCAGAAATCTATTGTTTTAAACACTTAAAATTCATTCTTAATTTAATCATATGAGAAATATTCAGAATTTTTTTAAGTTAAAAAAATTGCAAAACAACATATATAATTGTAATATACATTTATGTTAGAAAGAAATAGATGGATTAATTATTTAAATTATTTAATTATTAATTAATTAAAGAGAAACACTGATTAACAATGAATTATCAAGTCAATAACTTTTCAATACATAGGAATCAACATGGATTATATAAGAATAGATCAGAAAAATACGTTAACTTCTCTTTTTAATAGGGTTCTTGGATTGGACAGAGGAATTTAAACATGGTATATATGTTATTTTTAATTCAGCAAGGCTATTTGAAAAGGGTCACATAAAATTCTAGTACAAAATTGGAAAAGGTAGTCTGGATTATATTAAAAATTTTCATAGCAGATTGAAAAATAACTATATATATATATATAAAAGGCTAAGTGTCCATCCATCCAACTGAAAGCTATGACGCACATTGACCACCAGGGGGAAGATGCTCAACACAGGAGCTACCATGACTCACACTGGCCATTTAAAAATAAATGGCACCATGGACCTGGTGCTGACAAACCAACACTCGGCTTCCCCAAGTGGGACAGAGGCCCACCACCCCAGACTGGCACCCCATCAAATCACAGCCAACGCTGCAAAGACCCCATGGCACAGAATGTAGCCCACAGCCCAGCCCAGCCCAGAAATAATCACTGTGGGCATTGGGTAATGACATCACATAGGAATGCCTGGTTTCCTCTCCCTAGTGATTAGCCTCCTTGGAGTTTCTTCAGCCCAGGAACCTGACTTGCCTTATAACCAGGTGCAACATTTTACAATTTAAACAAATGTTTGTGAAGCATTTTTTCATGCCTCCTCTCATTTGATCCTCACAGAAGTCCTGGAGTAGATAGATAGGAGATTCGGTAGAATCCTATTTTCTATTCATTAGCCAGAAAAGGGAGAGTTAGAAAGTTTGGAAATCTGACCCAACTGAAAAGAAGTAAGAAATGGTGGATCTTGAAAATGACTTCAGGTTTTCTCACTGTGCCGAATATAGTCAAATACTGCTGCAGTTAAATATTTTACCCTTTGTTCTCCCTGTGTGATCTACAATAATAATCTGCTTCGTGTTGATATTTATTGCTGTGTTTCTGATAATTACCTGAAAGAGAAGTTAGGTTGCTTCACTGGGCTGGAAAGTGTTCAGCTAGTTCAGAAAGGAGGTCTAATTAAGCAAGTTTATATATATAAAAGGTTAAGTAGACTTGCACATGCACAGTATATATAAAGGTCTTGCTGGCATCAATCACATGCATGTGTTTTGATCTGTCATTGTCAATGATGAATTTGGTTGACATTTATATTATTACAGAAAGGGCGAATAGCAATACTGAAATATTTCTTCTATTTAATTTCCTTTCTATGTGCACAAATCCATTCACTGGGACACTAGTATATAAAATAATATCTGATGGACAGCTGAAAGGTCTCTAATGCCACTTCACAGGGACCCCTCTTATTTCTCTATGCTCTGTATTAATCACTTGAATGATAAACAGAAGCCCTACTTATCATTTGCATTTTTCCAGAAGCCAGAAAAAGTAACTGGTGCCTTCTTTCCCCCAAATCTTCTTGGATAGTGTTGGGCTGAGTCTGGAAGTGTCCACTACCCTGCTGGAGGGAGTCTAGTTCCGATGCGGAGGCTGCCTCTACCTCTCTAATATAATTGTGTCCCAGCCTGTGGAACACAGTTTTGCACTTCTCTGAGTAACTTGCACCATCTAGAAAGTTCTCTTCAAGGCCTAGAACCCTGTCTTGGTGTTGCTTGTCACCCAGTAAATGAGTCCTTGCCATGCATCCCCAGGATACCATTGCCCCCAATAGAAACTCCTAAACACAAATGGCTGTCCTTCTGAGGACCCCCTTCCTGGACTCCTCAAATCTGCCTGTGTCCGTCCTAGTGCCGGACGTGCATGTAAACTGTAGGAAGGGAATAATAACAGCACTCAATACTGCGGCACAGAGTTGTTGTTGTGAGGGGTAAAAGGCTTAGCTCAGTGTGCCTGACACAGAATAACCCTCCACAAATGGTCTGTGGCATTGAATTCACTTCAGAATGTTTGATGGATTTTCATAGAACAGTCATAACAATTCAGAGATAGAACATGCCAGCTCGAAGTAATAAGCTCCTTATCAGAAATGTTTACATACGAGTTAAAGGTGGTCCCGTTAGGGATTCGTACTTGGGAAAGGAATCCTGCCTTAGGAAAGAGGGAGCCTTTTTTATTTCATTCCACATAATTCTTATGCTCATATAATTTTTCTCAACATAATAACTTGATTCTTCAGAGATCCTAGCATACATGACACCTTGGAAATATTAGACATTCAATATTTTATTTGAGTAAAAGATAACAATAGGTTTTCAAAATACTATACCTCCATGACACCAGCTGAAGAATATGTAAAGAGCTATTAACACATCCCACTGAAATGTGACCTGATTCATGTCTGAAAGCAGGGAAGGCTCTTTGTTCCTCTCTAGGAGAAAAATACAAAAAAAAAAAAAAGTTTAAATTTTAGTATTTTAAGAAAATAATAAAAGGCATCACATTTTTTCATAGCAGTTATTATTATCTTTGATAAGAACCTCTGAGAAGGAAGAAAGGGGAGATGGAAGAAAGGAGGGATGGACAAAAGAAAGGAGGCAAATGGTAAAAAGTCACTAGTGTGTGACTAGGTATAATATGGAGTAAAGCAAAAGAATGCCATTTAACACCCTTCAAAAATCACTGTGAATTAGCTCAGTAGGACCTATTGATCCTGGATATAGTACAGTTCCTCTTATCTAGTCTCTCTCATCATAAATCTCCTCCTGCTCTAAATTCTGGTGATGAACTTTCCTCCCGACCAGGTTATGCATCTAACAAGCTCCAGGAATATTGGTATTTGATGAGTAAAACTTAGGAAAAAGCAAAAATCTCATAATCTCCAGAGAAAAGGGCAATAAATTAAGAAAGATAAAGTGGATGAAGTGAGACAAATGCGTATGTGTTGTCACCAGTTAAAATTACAGAAAGCTCACTCACCCCTGGAGAGCTCAAAAGAGACATAATGTAGAAAATGCCCCGAGTTTACCACTGGAGTTACATTACTCTGTCAGTTTCTTACATTATTAATAATTCAGTTATTCAATAATCAGCATTATTAACTTATTTTATGTTTCATTAAACCTTGAGCCTTTAATATACAACAAAACAAAATGCATAATTCATCAAATAGCATGAAATATCTAATAACATTTTTAAAAACTGGGGTTCTCATGATTCATGAACTAGGGAACTACTATTGTTAACAACAGTAGGTGTCATCTTTACAAATAATAGTGAAAACAAGCACTAAAATATTTCAGAAGTTAACTACTCACCTACTAGGCTATGCACAATAAATACTAAGGTAATTGATGTCAGACAATATTATAGATTCAACTATCATTTGTAACACTGTATAAAATATCACAAGAACTTATAAGAGAAAATAATTTTGCCCATGTATCTCCAACAGGAAATATAGCTGTTTTTAAGTAGTTGGATGTTCGTTTTCTCTTTACCTTTCAGTCTGTTTGAAGCACATAATTTCACTTCAGAGCCAGGCTGGCGTCACCTCTTCTTTCCCCACCGCCTGCCTGTCAGTGATCACTTCAGGTTCTCAGCTATGAAGCAAGTGGAAATGTCAGCAAAGCCCTGACCTACATTTCAGATTCTTGAAGAGAAACTCAAACTGTCCAATTCAAAATGACTGGCTCTCATGTCACTATTTGGGAAAACCCAGATTATTGAAAGTGAACTGCTCTGTCAGTACTTTTTGTTTTCTCAGCTTCATTTAGAATTGCCTATCTCATCTGAACAGTAGGACACATATACGTGCTCTGTCAAAATCTTTGACACCAAACACATGATGCTTAGTTTTAATTTGTAAAAACATTGATATTAAGTGTAAATTTGTTTATTAAGAAAAATTTTAAATGCTACTGTTGACCATTAATTTATTTTTTAAATATTTATTGTTGAAAGTATTACATATGACATCCTTTTCCCCAATGACTCCTTCTAGCCTGCCCCCAACCCCACCCCAGGCCTTCACCACCATTGTCTGTGTCCATGGGTTATGTGTGTGTGTGTATATGTGTGTGTGTGTGTGTGTGTGTGTGTGTGTGTGTGTGTGTATATATATATTTTTATTTTTTTCCCCTTTGGTTGATCACTACCACCCACCCAACCTCCTCTGCCTTCCCTCTGAGATTTCTCAGCCTGTTCCATGTTTCTACATCTCTGAGTCTATTTTGTTGATCAGTTTATTTTATTAGATTCCACATATGAGTGAGGTCATGTGATACTTGTCTTTCTCTGACTGGCTTATTTCACTTAGCATAATACTCTCCAGGTCCCTCCATGCTGTTTCAAAGGGTAAGAGATCCCTCTTTTTCACTACTGCACTGTATTTCAGACCATTAATTTATTTAACAAGCATTTTTTAGTAGTATTTTGTGCCAGGTAATGTTCTGGGCATTAAAGGTATAATGGTTATTGATTATGAAACAGTTCCTTTGTTTTATTGTGTAGAGTCATTAAATTACAGATCAGTTGTTTTAAATGAGGTTCACAGTTTAGCAATAATAAATTTACCAAATATTTGATTGGCTTATAGTAGGCACCATTGGGGGCTTTTCCTGGCATGCCTTTTGTTCCTGCTTCCTCTATTTGTTCTACATGCACAACCTATTCACTTTATATACTTCTTTCTATTTGTAAATAATTCATTTTACTTGTTTCCTCTACTGAAAACTTCTTGAAGTCAGAAACTCCACACTGACTTTTTAATTTTTATATCCTTAGTAACTCATGCATTAGAATACTCTAAAAATACTTAACTGATTCCTTTGCTTAGATTCATTCTAAATAATGCAGTCTGCATTTCTGTGGGTAGAGGCTGGGCACTGACATTTTTTAAAGCCCTCCTCTCCCAGGTGATAGAATGAATAATTAGGGTTGAGAACCACTGGAATATAACAAATAAGATTGCTATTTTTAAAGACCACACAGAAGAAATGACTATCCACTGGGTTTAAATTATTTGTAACCATTTTCCAACCTGTGAACGAGAGAGTGTAGAAAAACAGTTCACAAGAACAAAATTTGCAAGTAATATAAATGTTATGGGACTGGAAAGCATTTCTCCAGATTGAGAGGAATAAGATTTGAGCTGGAAAATTAGGTCAATGGCAGATTGTAATAGGCCTTGTATTCCTGCTAAGTAGTTTAACCTTTATCTTGATGTCAGCCAAGAGATAGCAAAGGTTGTTAAATATGAATAACATAATTAGATTAGATTTTAGAAAGGTGATTCTAATTACAGTGGAGAGAATGAACTGAAGATAAAGAGCCCAGTTAAGAGCTGGGCTGGAGTGGCTCGGTGACTGAACATCAATCTATGAATCAGGAAGTCATGGTTCGATTCCTGTAGGCTTGATCCCTTGTATGGGAGTGTGCAGAAGGCAGCTGATCAGTTATTTTCTCTCATCATTGATTTTTCTCTCTCTCTTTCTCTCTCTCTCCCTCTCCCTTCCTCTCTGAAATCAATAAATATATACACATTTTTTAAAAGAGCCCAGTTAGGAGGCTAATGAAAATCAAAAGCTGATGAGGATCCAGAACAAAGCGAAGGCAGCAAGAACTGAGAGGAGAACATAGAACTGAGAGCTCTGTCGAGGCAGGTTGGACAGGCTGTTGTGACCAATGAAGAAATGGTGACTCTGGCATTATGTAATCAACCATGTACGTGAGAAGTTAAGGATTCAGGTCATGAAGAATGACTGTGGTGACTATTAATAGTTTTGCTGACCCAGTAGATAATGACATTAACTGAGCACACAAAAGGAGGAGAGATTGTGGGGAAATGATGAATTTAGTTCTGAGCATGTTGACTTTGGGATGCTTAGCACATATTCAGAGAGAACTACCTGATAGACTGCTGTAGACATTGGTAAACTTGGGAGAAAAGTTTAAGTTGGAGATCTAAATTTGAATGGTTTCAGCATATTAAGAGTATTGAAACTAAAATTAGAATAAGAAGACTCAGTCCTGGCCAGGTAGCTCACTTGGTTAGAGTGTAGTTTTGTTATGCCAGGGTGCAGATTTGATCTCTGCTCAAGGCACATACAAGAATCAACCATTAGCCTGGCATGGCTCAGTGGTTGTTATTGACCTATGAACCAGGAGGTCACAGTTCAATTCCCTGTCAAGGCACATACCTGGGTTGTGAGCTCAATCCCCAGTAAGGGGTGTGCAGGAAACAGCCAATCAATGAGTCTCTCATCATTGATGTTTCTAACTCTCTCTCCCTCTCCCTCCCTCTCAGAAATCAATAAAAATATTTTTAAAAGAATAAACCATTGAATGCATAAATATAAACACTTGTAACAAAAAATAGACATTTCTTTCTCTATCAATAAATATTTTTTCATTTTAATATATAAAAATAAGGGGATTCAAAGAGAACACTTAGAGCAATAAGGGAAGGAGTGGTGTCCAGAACCAGAAAATGTTGACTCTAAAAAGAAAGAAGAAATATAAGTAGTGTGGGGGCTGATGGTGGTTCTTAACCATCTTTTCAATAAAAATTTTTATTATTTTTTAAAAATATGCTTTTATTTTATTTTATTTTTTTAGAGAGAGAGGAAGGGAGAGGGATAGAGAGATACAAACATCAATGATGAAAGAAAAACATCATCCAGCAGTTGCCTCCTGCATGCCCCCTACTGGGGATTAAGTCCACAACCTGGACATGTGCCCTGATCAGGAATCAAACCAGTGACCTCTTGGTTCATGGGTCAATGTTCAACTACTGAACACACAGCAGGGCATCCTATATAATAAAAGGCTAATATGCAAATTGGCTGAATGGCAGAATGACCAGTCGCTATGATGAGCACTGACTGCCACGGGGCAGACGCTCAATGCAGGAGCTGACCCCTGATGGTCAGCGCACTCCCACAGGGGTTGTGCCACTCAGCCAGAAGCCTGCCCACAGGTGGTGAGTGCAGTAACAGTGGTACTAAGGATGTCCGACTGCTGGCCTAGGCCCACTCCCTGAGGGTTCCCAGACTATGAGAAGATGCAGCATGGGCTGAGGGACCTCCCCCAAGTGCACGGATTTTGTGCATCGGGCCTCTAGTACTATATATATTTCTTTAGCCCATTTTTATCGGTTTGTTGCTTTCTTATTATTGCATTTTGAAAGTTATTTATATGTTTTGAAAAAGCAATTCTTTATCAAATATGTGTTCTGCAATTACTTTCTCCTAGTCTATGGCTAATATTTTTTCTTAATGATGTCTTTGAGAGCAGAAATTTCTTGTTGTTGTCTTTTAGTACTCACCTGAGGATATTTTTCCATTGATCTTTAGGAAGAGTGGAAGAGAGAGGAAAAGACAGAGAGAAACATCGATGTGAGAAAAACACATCAATTGGTTGCCTCCTGCATGAGCCCCAAACAGGGCTTAGGCCGGAGAGGAACCTGCAACTAAGGTACATGCCCTTGACCAGAACCAAACCTGGGACCCTTCAGTCCGCTGGCCAATGCTCTATCCACTGAGCCAAACTGGCCAGGGAAGAAGTTTTTAATTTTAAGTTCAACTCATTTTACTGTTTTAATGATTCATATTATTTTTTTGTCTTGCAAGCCTCTGCTCACATTTTCTTCAATAGATCAACACATAATCTCGTTTCGTGTGTGTTTCTGATTAAAGACATCTTACTTAATCGATATTGTTGATTAATTAACATTAAACTTTGGGCCAATGACATTGTCATTCATGCCTGAACAAAGACTACCTAACATACATATTTTCTTTATAATATACATGGTAGCCTTGTACTTACAACTTTAGGACTATACTTGGGGACCATTTTAAACAGCAAAATCACCAACAAAAACCATAAAATGTAGCACTAAATAGGCTGAAAAGACTCTTATGTACAGTATAAGAGCTGACACTATTATTTTGCATTCTCCAGTGTACTCTAGACTGTGTGTGTAATGAAAGTGAAGAGCTATTTTGATGACTGATGGTGCCCCCCTGTCTTACTGTTGTCATAGGCCTAATACAGAGCTGCACCTCCCTTTAGTGCCTCCTCTGTGTCAACAGTCACTGTGCCAGGGGCTCTGACTAGAGAAAAGGATGTTAATGGCTTTCCAGGATCCTGAACTGGGAAAGAAGATGGTATTTTACAAGTACAACAGGACAGAATAAAATGCTAATAGAGCCAAATCTGGTTTGACTCAGTGGATAGAGCGTTGGCTTGCGGACTCAAGGGTTCCGGGTTCAATTCCAGTCAAGGGCATGTACCTTGGTTGCGGGCAAATCCCCAGTAGGGAGTGTGCAGGAGGCAGCTGATCGATGTTTCTCTCTCATGGATGTTTCTAACTCTCTATCCCTCTCCCTTCCTCTCTGTAAAAAATCAATAAAATCTATATTTTTTAAATGCTAATGGAAAGATACGAAGATAGTTACTAGTATATACAGAGAGGAATAAACAACAGCCTCAGGTCACACTCTTTTGAGCTTCAGCCCTGTGGGCCAGCTCCTGTAGAGCAAAGCTTACCTGATCTGGGCCAATGACTCAGGCTCCGTTTCTTGCCTGCTGCCTCCTGTTTGATCTCACACGTGTGACTCTGCGCTTCATTGTATGATACCGGCGTCCCTCTTTCAGCCGCCTTTGCTGCTACCC